ACCGGTCCGCATTGGGGCTGTGTACGATCTGACTGTTCAATTTTTACAAGTCATCATCTGCCCGGCAGGAGAGAACTAGGCCTGTAGCTATATTGAGCACCACCCCGCAGCCCTTTTTCAGATTCCATTTAAATGCGACATGTGCTGTGTGTGTGCGGACCCACAAGGGCGAGGAGTGGCGCAAAAAGAAAGGAGCTGGGATTAAATTTAGGGCTTTCTGTATGTCTGCTTACCTGCAGATGCTCCTGAAATCGTATCGGCAGTATCTGAGCCATTTCTGGAGGGTTTCTCTGCCTGAAGAGTCCGCGAGGAAGGAAAGGGGAAGGGGACAACAAGAGGATAAAGGTGGTGTTCTTCTTTGTGTGCCCTAAATGCCCAAAAAGTCAAACTGATGGGCAGTAGTAGGTAGTCTGGGTGGCTTGCGTTGGTATCACACGAATCCACTGACTGCTCCCATTCAGTAGCCCCCCTTACACCAGTCCTGAATCAAAAACTCCGCACCTCCGCTAAGAAAACTAGTCCACTTCAGCTACTACTGAGCCAAACCATCTCCTCCCTGAGCCTTGTAAGGATATGGGCAGTCTTAAAAGCCCGTGCTTACTTATTGAAACGGATAACTTCACATGTGACGCCCCACCCTTGGATTTTTTTTTATTAATATTGTTTTCTCTGAGCTGTCAATGAATTCAGTTGAACGCGCATTTTGTACCCCTCCGCCGCAGCCCCTTCCCCCTTCCTTTCCACCAACTTCGAAATCAGGGCTCGTGACATGCGCCCCACCTTTGCATAATTACCACACAATCACACATATGCAGTCATCTTTCTATAAAGTGTGCTTCTGAATGGATGATCAGAGGACTTCAAATCGTGCTTTTTTCCAAGCAGCTTTTTACGTCAGTTACCCTCTCCCATCATCACCGTGGTGCATGGAGTGCAGCAAGACATGCACAACTAAAAAGCACATTTCAGTATTATGTTAACATCAACAACCTTTCTGGCGTGTCATCAATGAGAATGAGTCTATGAGGGTGAGGAACAGAAAATGTGGTTTCTGCTTTATTTAAAAGTCAAACCATTTACACCATAATTTCTGGGTTTGTGGTTTCTTTGAAACATAGTTCCTTTGAAAAACAGCAAAGCCTCATTTACATTTCAGACCAGACATGAATCAGTATAATGTGCAGTAATATGAACATCATTTAAAATGCCTGTTCCAGAAGGGTAGTCTTGTTCCATGTAGTATTTACTAGTGACAATTAAAACTTAAAATGAGTAGCTTTGAAAAATATGAAAATAATAATAATAAAAATAATAATAATAATAATAATAATAATAATAATAATACATCTTTTAAATGCAGATACCACATGTAAAAATTATGTGATTTTAGTCCAGTCCATGTATCAAAGTCTATGACATCCTAAAACTAAATGCAAAAATGACTGGGGGTTAGTTATTGTTAGCTACTTTTCATTGACTGAAATGAATATTAGACCATGAACACAAGTTTGTCATACCAGCAGTCACCCTGTAGCAGAGCTTAAAGATTAAAATTACACTCACTGGGTCCAGGAAGTTATTTAGCAGATTTTACTTATTTATGCAAATATTTCTATTTGCAGTCCCACAAACATCTGTGTTTTTAGCCACTGCTGCAAGCTTTTGTGTGACATTACTAGACAACATAAAGCATTTTAATTCCCTTAAAAACATTAGTCAGTCGGTCAAAATTAAAGAGCGCAGAAACATGATGATGCCTTGACTGTTAAGCAAGGATATGAGTGTCATATGTAACTGCACCACGTATAGGTGCATTACATACATAGGCTAAGACATTGCATTGCATCTAATCCATGCAATGCAGGTAACTTCAGTGATTCATCTATAATGCAAATTGACACTTTTGTTGATAAATCACATACTAATTCTTCTTCTTTGTCTTCTTCTTTTGGCTGCTCTCTTTAGGGGTCGCCCCAGCGAATCATCTGCCTCTTTTCTTCCTCCCTGGTGCTCCATATTCCGCATCCTTTATCCAACATATCCACTATACCTTCTCTGCACACATCCAAACCATCTCAGTCTAGTCTCTCTAACCTTGTCTCCAAACTACTGTCACGCTGATGTATTCATACCTAATCTTATCCATTCTGCTCACACCCTTCTCCAAGGGTCTGCCACGTCCAGCTTGGCCTTCTGTGTTTTTATCAGTGCCACCATCTCCAAACAATACATAACACATCATATGAGGTCTCACCACCATATTTTATTCTTTCATCTACAATATTAGAAAGAAACACAAATTAGACAAAGATGTGTGAGCAAGCACCTGGTGAGTGTAGGAAGGAAAAACACTGTAAAAGCAGGAAGAACCTCCAGTCCAAAACCAGACTCAGGGAGGTTCTGCACACAGTTGGAGACAGAATTTAATCATTGATAATGGTTAAATGCAATAGTGGTGTATAAGCACATTGAAAAAGAAAAGCTGCAAGTGAAGAAGAAAGTCTCAGTGCAACATGAAAAGACCCTCACCTCCACACACACACACACACACACACACACACACACACACACACACACACACACACCAGGCCAAGTCTATTGCAGCATAACTAAGACATGGTTCAGGATCACCTGATCCAGCCCTAAATAAAACCTTTATTAAAAAAGAAAGTTTATTTTAGCTTTAAAAGTAGAGAGCAGCTGTCTCACGTATGCAAACTGGGAGCCGGGAGACTCCTGACTTCTTCATACAGTATCACAGTAATTGTTCTACCAGGTGGTTTTAGGGTTGGTTTTATGATTAATCCTCACAGGAAGCATGCAGCTCTCATACACCCACAGAAACCAGGATATACCACAAGCAAAGATTTTAAACTTTCAGGTTTTTGAGTTTACTTAAAGGACTTCAAGTAACATCAGTCATTTGCAAAGTACTTAACTCTCTGAAAGAATAACATAAATCACAAAAACCGCAAATAAAGACTTATTTTCAGTTATGGGATCTAGGGCAAATGTATGGGATCTAGGGCAAATGTAAAGTTTTGGTCTGTTTTGCACAAATTACTACAACAATACACTGAAAAGGCAGAGTACACATAATATAATAGGTCAAAGTCATTAAAATAACCAAATGGAGAGACACAATTAAATTCAAACTTGTAGTGTATACAGATAGATAGATAGATAGATAGATAGATAGATAGATAGATAGATAGATAGATAGATAGATAGATAGATAGATAGATAGATAGATAGATAGATAGA